GGGGGGGGGGGGCACCATGATTCATGAAGCCAAGGAGATGAAGAAACAGGCGTGTTTGAATGAGATGCACTGTGTTGCTGCAGAATGAGTGGAGATATTGGTGTCAGGAGGCCTATCCTGCTGACACAGTGACATATAGGGGAGTCTCATACACCAGGGCCTAAACCACTCCTGCAAACATAATGATGGTCACATGCAACTTCAAAGGCAACCATGCAGCAAAATGACCGAAAATAAGGAACAAGACGAATCTTCCCCTCGTTTAATAAATGTTTAAAGTGAAACTACATGAGCTGTGTTGTTGTTTGCAGCCTCTTCCTTGAAGAGCTCCAAAACTGGCTCATGTTTAATTAAATTCTGGCTTTTTCCAGAAAAGCATGGCAGTCCTTGTAAGTTTAGGTCTGAGACTTGAACACATGAAATATTTACAGACAGATAAATCTTTCAGATCAGCACCTTGTCAGTCGACCTCTGTTTATTTCCCTTTGCTTTCATCTGATGGTCTTATTTATTTACAGCTGGAATATAAATAGTCTAAACTGAGCTAAAGAAAAAAAATAAACTGTTTGTTAAAAACCTTGATTTTTTTTTTTTTAGTTTTTCTTTTTAGTTTTTTTGTTCGACAAAGAGATATGCATTTCATAACCTGGCATCATTCATGAAATAATAAATAAGCAAGCGTAAATGCGCATGCACGGAATGGAGAGATAAGGGGAGGAGAGCGTGCATGTGTGGGAGGAGGAGAGGGGGGAGGAGGAGCGGTGTCTCAGTGAAAATAATATCAGGCTTTTCCGTCAGAATGAACTTTCCTACTGTATCCAGCCATGAAATGATCTGACCCGACACTTCTAACCATCTGCGCCATCTATCCGCCCTCTTATTTACTAAATCAGCCCGTGCACAAAACGGAGTGTGCATGATAGGCCTGCTAAACCCGGAGAAGCCTGCCGGGGCCATCATGACTTTATGCACATGTTTCCATGATGCATGCGCGCGCTGATGTGCTTTTGGCACTGATGGAGCATTTGCTTTAAAATAATAATCTTTTTTTTTTTTTTACAAATACCGAAACTGCATAACAGCAACTCCGTGCAGAAAAGAGCATTTATTTGTTAGTCAAACCAATTTATAAGATTTTTCTTTTCATTTTTTTATTTATTTATTTTTTTGTCAGTTTGAAAAGACATTGATGAGTTCAAGGCTGCAAAACAGAGCTGGCAGCTAATTCATGTTGAAACATTGAGATAAAACGCAACAAAATAAAAATGATTCGTGTTTTTAATGCAATGATTGTATTTTGTTTTATTTATTCATCTTTGCAGCAGCTCTGTGTGATGGATGGATCATTACTGAGGCTGCAGAATAAATCCAGCACATCTGATCAGGCGGATTGTTGCTCTTCATGATCAAGACTTGTTATTTCTTTAACACAAAACAGGGTTTCAAAACGCGCAGCAAAAAAAAAAAAAAGGTCAAAATGTTTATAATATTTTTGAAAAGGGAGGCGCTCAGGTCCTCTTTCCGCCTGATTGGCCGAACTTGACAGTGATTGACGTGCATCCATGGCAACCGAGCAGCCAATCTGCCAAGTCCAATAGGAAATCATCAGAGGGGGGCTTCGCTGGCTTTTTTCCTGCCCCTTAAAATCCATCTCAGCTCGGGTTTGAATCCTCTCCTGCACTCAGTCCCCGGCTACCTTGAAAATAATCCTTCTCGGGCTTTAAAATCTGCGTCTGCAGACCTTTTCCTGCCGAGTCCGCAAAGCCTGAGGATGCGGTAGCCGGGGCCCCCACCATCACCACCGCCATCCCTCACAGCATCGTCCCCCTCCTCCGCCGCGTTTCTTTTTTTTTTGTTGTTTTTTCCACGGCGGCTCAAAGCATTCGGGTCGGGGCTGCTTCGGTTCTTCGGGTGCCTTGGATTGCCTCGGCGCGCGGAGAGAAGAAGCGGGCGGAGGAGAGGAGAAGAGGAGGAGGAGGAGGAGGAGGAGGAGGAGAGGGAACCACGGGAGAAGCCTCCATGTTTCAGCTGCCCATCTTGAATTTCAGCCCCCAGCAGGTCGCCGGGGTCTGCGAGACTCTGGAGGAGAGCGGGGACGTGGAGCGCCTGGGCCGCTTCCTGTGGTCGCTGCCCGTCGCGCCGGCGGCCTGCGAGGTCCTCAACAAGAACGAGTCGGTGCTGAGGGCCCGGGCCGTCGTCGCCTTCCACACGGGCAATTTCCGCGAACTCTACCACATCCTGGAGAACCACAAGTTCACCAAAGAGTCGCACACGAAGCTGCAGGCGCTGTGGCTGGAGGCGCACTACCAGGAGGCGGAGAAGCTGCGGGGCCGCCCGCTGGGGCCCGTGGACAAATACAGGGTGCGCAAGAAGTTCCCCCTGCCCAGAACCATATGGGACGGGGAGCAGAAAACCCACTGCTTCAAGGAGAGAACCCGGCACTTGTTGAGAGAGTGGTATTTGCAGGATCCGTACCCGAACCCCAGTAAAAAGCGGGAGCTGGCACAGGCCACGGGACTCACACCCACGCAGGTGGGGAACTGGTTTAAAAACCGCAGACAAAGAGACAGAGCGGCTGCTGCCAAGAACAGGTGAGCTGAGAGCATCCTATCTGCAGCAGACACCTCTATTCATATTAAGATTGTGCTCTCCGTTTATTTCCATCCATCCGCGAGACTAGCATTATTTTGAAGGGAATAAGATGACAGCAGGAAACGATGATAAAAAACATCCCATAATCTTCCCAGATGTCGGATTAGTTTGTTGTTTTCACTACAGTAAAAAAAAATAAATAAAAAAAATCAGAAAATATTTAAATTATGAATTGCACTGATTTATTTATTTATTTACTCATGCCTGCTAGTCTCTAAAAACTGTCACATATTTGATATTATTGCAATGATTTTAGTGTGTGAACAGTGATGGAGGAAGTGCAGCAGTTGTTTCATATTTTGCAGATAAAAGTTTAATCTGGTTTGTGCAGAACGAAAAATAAAGAATAAACGCGCTGCTATTTGTTGTAAAAACAGATGTTTTTAGCCGAGAGCTTTCACTTCTTGTCATAAAATGGGAAAAACACCTTTGTGTGGTTCTGTTTTTTGCTTTAAACATTTTTATGCGTTTTACAGGTTTTACATATGAAAATAAATATTAAAATGTTATTTATTATGAACAACAAAAAGGCTTAAATCATGTCATCTCTGGATGACAGAGCTTACAACATTTTATATATAATTGTATCTATTTATACGTTTTCCTTCCTTTTGTCTCGCTTCTGCTCAGGCTACAGCAGCAGGTTCTGTCCGGCGGTTCGGTTCGCTCCTTGGCGGACGAGGACGGCACCGTGGACCGCCTGGGGAACTCGTCCAGTCCGGAGGCCAGTCTGTCCAGCAAGGCGGCCGCCTCGGCCATCTCCATCACCTCCAGCGACAGTGAATGTGACATCTGACGGCCGAGAGTCAGAGACAATAATACAGACAAGTAACAGTGCCTGCGTCGAGTTCACACACGCACACACACACACGCACACACACACACACACACACACGCACACACACTGATTTCTGACGGCTGCCAAAACATGAGGGGATCCTCATCCTTTTAGGCCTATTATTTTTTGCGTTTTACCCACGCGTGGATACCTGAAAACGGACAAAAACACGCACATTCCACGGACTAATGCCGCTTCAAGATGAAAAACAAGGAGGGAATTAAAACAAAAAAAATGAAGAAAATAAATTAAAATGAAGGGATGAGGGATTTCAAAGTGACCTGCCGTTCTCTGTGGGTTCTTCATGGTGAAAAGAACTGTGACATTTTTACTTTAAAGTTTTATAAATGATGTTTATTTGCTTATTTAAAAAAAAAAAAAAGGAACCGGATCTGCTGTCTCTTGGAGTTTCATATTCATTTGCTTGGTGTTTTTAATACTGTCCACAGGTAAACCTGTTGAGCATGCGCGCTTTAGTGACATTGTGTTTCAGTAAAAAGGAAAAAAAAAAAGTAAAGATAATAAAATAACTGTTGATCAAGAAAGTCTCTTTTTTTTTTTTTTTTTTTTTTTAACTTCATGTAAGAAAACATTTTGTTTTTGTCTGAAATGATGGGAGAGGGTACCGTGCTGCGTTCACGGACACGTTTTAGAGCGAGCTGTAATTGGCCAACATGCTCGGAGTCCTGTAATGCAGGGTGACAGCGTGAGGTCACCGAGAGGCCGGCTCACTAACCCGGATGATCCGCGAGAGGGATCATGGGAGATCAAACCCCAGCCCCAGACTGTGGAGCTGAGGGAGGACGCACAGAAACAGGCTCATCAGAAACAGCCTCCTTCATTAAGAGCACATTCTCTAAAAGTAAATATTTTAACTCTATGACAGAAGCAACATCTTGTAACCTTTCTGGGATGATAAATATGTTGGGAAACTGCTTTTAAAAGCACCCGGAGGCGAGAAAATATCGATTTCTTCCTCAAATCAGATTTTTAAACAAGCTTTTTCCACCTTGCGCGAGCAATGAGGCCAACATCCGGAGATGGAGACAGGAAATAAATGCGGGGTGCATGCGGGCTTTTGTGCGTTTGTTTCTTAAAGAAAAATAGTGGGACATTAAAAAAAAAGAGCAAAATATTTCCGTTTCCATTGAGAGCGGGGGGAGCGGATGACAAAGTCTTCCTCGCAGTCAATAAGGTTGTCAAACTGGTCAGCGGTAATCAGTGCTAATGAGGGGGGCTGAGGGCCCCCGCGCGCACAAAAAGGGGCCCCCGCCGCTGTTTTGTGCAGGGAAGCGACCGCGGGTGAAGAAAAGACTCCATGGATTGTGTGAGCATCACAACTTCTCCAATGTGCGTGTGTGCGCGCGCGCTGGCATGTGCGTGAACTCCTGGCTGTTTTGTGACTTGTAACAGTCTCGAGCCCCTCAGAACTTCTCCATCTTCAGACAGCTCCGTGCTGCGCGCGCGCTTTCAGATCACATGTTCTCATGGACACACTCATGTTTTATGATTCGTCCTCTGCGTTCAGCTTCTCATGCTTCTGATGCATCTCGTTCCATTTAAACAAATATTGTTAGGGAATAAATGTTAATTTTATTTGTTTGTACCGTTTGATTTAATAAACGCCTCGGCATAAACAGATTATTCACGCGTTTCTAAACACTATTATGTTTTATAAAAGTTATAAAACACATTCTGAGAGAAGCTTGCTATTTGGCAAGATAAAGTGCTGTATTTTTATTACATTATTTTATATTCATATACTAAATATCAAACAACTTGCATATGTATACCTTGTTTAGGCACAAAGTTGTTTTTTTGTTTGTTCAAAAACTAAGTTGAGCCAATAGCAATAAATTATATTTACCTGACTAAATAAATGTGCAGCTTTTGAGATATGCTTCATTTAAATTTTTTATAAACTGTTTACAAACTCTTGATTTACCTGCTAATAAAAGCAGCCCGTATAATAATAATAATAATAATAATAATAATAATAATAATAATAATAATAATAATAATAATTTTGCCTTTGCAGAACATGTTTATGTATTAAACCCTTTCGGTTTAGAAAATCTGACAATTACGTCACAGTCAACAGTTACGTCAGCAGATGAAGTCATGAAAATGTTCAGCTCCTGTGTCCATCTGATCAATTAAAAAAAAAGAAGAAGCTTTAAATATACAAAATTACAACAAATAAACCTAAACATGTCAAATGTTTCCGCAGCTTCTGAAGATACAAGGAGCATTTTTTTGATTTTTTTGTTTTTGTTTTGGGCAATAAAACAAATTGTAAACACAAAAAATAGATACTTTAAGAACTAGATGTTTACATTTGCAGTGATTTAACGCTGTGATCATTGAGCTCTGTTTACTTCATTTTTACAGATAGCATGTTTGTTAAACTAAATCAGACTTTTTTTTTTTAGATTGTTTAAGATGATTGCAAGAAACCAGATTTCTTTAGCCAGAAAAGTGGCCTCAGGTTTGTTTGTAGCTGCTCCTTTACGCCCTTCAGTGTGGAAGTAGATGTCCTTATTATTATTATTTGGATGTAGATTTATTACAGTTTTATCTGCAGACTTAGGCCTGTTGCATGGCAGAAACAGCTAAATAAAACCTATGTAGAAGTCTGCGCTTTTTAAGAGGGTGGGGTTGTGCACTTTTGTTTTCTCAGAGTCCAATAACCAATAATCACAGTTATCTTTCAAACTTTAAGACACCATCCATTATGACCCATTCATGCAGCTTTTACTTCGGCAGCCTTCTCGAGCATCACTTGAGTATTTACACTCCTGCTTCCATTACTGTGAGTAACGCAAACACAACAAGTATTTTAGGATTCATTTGTATTATTTTGTCTAGTGTTCCTCTCATCCCACATGGAGGAGCGCCTGAGGTCACTGATTGGGAGAAGCGCGTCCTTCAACGAGCCCCTTTGTCCTTCTCGGTTGTTCAGTCCACCCCCTCCGCCCCCAACAACTCCCCTAACCCAGACTGCTTACTGTTTACAAGGTTAAACCACAATTCACTTTGTGATCTTTAAAAGGAAAGGGAAAAAAGCAATCAAAATATTTTATTCGGATGACAAAAGTGTGTTTTTGTGAAATGCATTGTGGGGAAAAAAAACTATAAAATAACATTTGAAAGCTTTTTTTTTTTTGTTGCTGCACAGTATCCATCAGCCTTGATGTTTTCTTCTTGTAAAAGCTGTTTTTTTTATTTCCACAGATTTTCTTTTTTTGTTTGCTTTTTAAAGGAAAAATAGCGAATAAACAATATAGACGCTTTTACAGCAGAGCGCGAGGAGCTGAAGACGGAAACCACGTGTCAGTGGCGCCCCCTCGTGGCAGTAACTGCCCAGCATCGTCAGCGCGATGATGCGAAATTATTTAATCGCGCCTTTTTCCTTCTTTAATTAATCCAAGCAACTAAAACAACCAGTTTTTATGTATTTTATACTTTTATTTTCATCCTCCAGTGGGGTTAGGTCTAAAAGTAAAAATAAAAACAAACAGCGTTTAAAAACGTGTTAACTCACACGAACAGAAATGAAAAATTCTATTATCGTGTTGGAAAATTGCAGCTTCTTACCTTTGGAGTGGTATGAAATGTTAAAGTGAAAGACATTCACTTGAGTTTATTCTATTTAAAGTGTCACTTCAGTTTTTATTTCACTGTTAGACTTATTTAAAATAATCCAAACTATTTATATAAAATACATAAATGTCCAAGAGCTGGACCTTGAAGATTTTCAGCACCATGGACAGCGCTTCTGCTCTCATTAGTGTCCTCTAATAATTGTCTCAGCTTTGAATGGCCCAACAAAAGTTCCCTCAAATGTTTCAGAAAGTGTCCAAATGCAGCTCCACGAGCTTTTGTTGGTTTTCCACGCGCTTCAGAGTTGAGCAGACATTGATTGGTTCCTGTTAATTATAAACAGACGCGTTTAAATCAATCGATCAGCTCCTCTGCAGCCAGCAGTTATTATCTGTAAGAGGCTTTTGTTTTGACAGACGCTGTGCTCAAACTTCAGATTGAAAGAACAAAGAAGAAGAAGAAGAAGAAGTTCGAGGTGCATTGTGGGATTCTTGATATCGACTGGATAGAGCAGAAGAAGCTGCGGGAGGTCAGATGATGTGCAGCTTAATGTTCTGAAATATGTTTTTTTTTCTTCTTTTTGCTTAAATAATTTTCATTTTGATTTCTAGTGATGCTTTTTGTGTGTTTTATTGAGGTAGTCAAAAAAATTAATAGAAGCAGAAGAAAACCCCAAAGTTTATGTTGTGCAGATTGATAAACCTCTCTGATGAACTGACTTTGAATTTCTGACAACAATGAGCTGAAATCACAGCCATCAATACTGGCTACAAACCTCAGCCTTTATAAAGCAATCAATCAATCAATCAATCATTGATCAGTCGGTGACATGCGCATTTTCACCACTAGATGGAAACACTGACCAAATAAAAAGAAACGAATCGCAGGAAATGAAGAATTCCTTAACTGGAGTTAGTAGGAGAGAGATCATATAATAATAATAATAATAATAATAATAATAATAATAATAATAATAACGAATATAATAAAAATAATAATAATAAAATGTTATGTGTTGTCATCATTGTATGTTCTCATACAAAGATGAAATTGGTTCTCTGCATTTAACCCATCACACCTGGGACACACCCAGGTGGAGCAGCGGGCAGTTATGTAGGCGCCCGGGGAGCAATTCGGGATTAGGTGTCCTGCTCAGAGACACCACGAGATGTGCAATGACTGGGGATTGAATCCAGGACCTTTGGGTCTTGAGTCGACTGCCCTGCCCCTACACCATCTCGGGCCTCGGCTCTCCAGTTTTAGTTTCTCTCCATTGGCTCCCTGTCAAATCCAGAATATAATTTAAAATCTTACTTCTAACCTACAAACCTAGCTCCATCTTATATTAAGATCTTATTGTTTCATATTTTCCTAACAGAGCACTTCACTCTCAGATTGCAGGTTTACTTGTGGTTCCTAGAGTTTCCAAAAGCAGAATGGGACAAAGATCTTTCAGTTATCAGGCTCCTCTCTTGTGGAACCAACTTCCAATCTCTGTCCGTGAGGCTGACACATTGTCCAGTTTTAAAACTAGGCTAAATACTTTCCTTTTTGCTAAATCCTATAGTTAGTGTCGGCTTGGGTTTCCTGAGCTGTCCCTTAGTTATGCTGCTATAGACTTAGACTGCTGGAGGACAAAATGACCACATTTTTTTCACTATGCTTTTCTTTACTTACTCTGCTCAACCTGTTTTGTATTTGTAATTATTTTTTCTATCCTGGACATGTGTTTTTGTCTTTCAGGTACACCTGCACCAACATCTGGACCTGCCATTCTGTGTTCATGTGTCTCTCCTTCCTGTCCTCTCAAACCAGCCGGTCAAAGCAGATGGCCGCTTGTCCTGAGCCTGGTTCTGCTGGAGGTTTCTTCCTGTTAAAAGGGAGTTTTTCCTTTCCACTGTTGCCACTGTGCTTGCTCAGGATGGGAGACTGCGACGAAGCCAAGATTC